TTCCTTTCTTCTTATAACCTCGTTTCTTAGAAGCGCCCCTTTGAAAATGGGTGCACTTCGAGGAATACCTCGAATGAATCTAAGGTAAGGTAAGGAAAATTCTAAGGTAGGTATGGCAAAATAAATCGTCTTTGAATGCGCTTCGGATTCCTTTGAAATGTCTGTTTTGACTCACTAGCGTGAAATTTTGTCTGTCACAGAAAAACTTTTTCTCGCGCGTCCCTGTTTGACAAACCGGGATAAAAATCTTATGTCCTTTACCGGGACTCAAACTATCGCTATAAGTACCTTTCATTGAAATCGATTCTTGTGGTTTAGGCGTGAAAGTAACAGACATACAGACACAGTTCGCTTTCGCATTAATTTTGTCTAACTTCGTAGTATATTCATTAAAACCATTGATCTAATTTCAAAGCTTTAGGACGAATTCTTGCTAATGAGATTTATAATTTGTCTATCCGCTTAAATTATTGCTACTCTTAAGAAGGACGGTTTCGGAGAATCTCGTCTAGGTTTGATATTTTCCTCTTTTTAAAATCTTTCTTCAGATAAGTGTTTCTTGGAAGTTGTTGAACAAATCGCAAAACGAAGAAGGCTTTACTTTCTAAGTACATTAACTCGGGTAAAGCAAGCGGATCATTCAGAGGTACTTAATATTTGATATTAATGTCTAATGGGAATCTTTTCCATGGCTGTCAATAAATGGGCCAATGCTGAGAAGAAGAAGCGCAAGAAACTCAGTCACTATTGTCAGCCTCAATCAGCCTCAGACAAATTAATATGCGAATATCAGGTCTCTTCAAACCGTCTGGCCAGCGTGAGGAGTATAGGCTAAATCCTCCATATGCCCCTGGTAAGTTAAAGGGGGTCAGGGTCCTGCAGTGGAGACGAAAGATTCTGATGTTGATGATAGCAGATAAGAATATTCAGATTTAGTGCCGATTTTATCACTGACACTAAATGCGACTAATTTTAATACTATATCATGGGCTTAACTAGTTTAAAACTTGATATTGTTTAATTCAGTTAAAACTAAACTTGGTTCAGATAGCTTAACGAGTTCAATAGCTACAGTATTGTATTGTGAGTTTTTTGTTTCTTGTCAGAAAGTTACTTTATAACTTTGCGTTATAAACGATATGAAAAGTGCATTAGTCATAGCGTTCAACGAAAAATATGAGAAATGAGGATACAATACAACTTTTCACTGTACTGTATGAAACAAAACAACATTCGGCCCACTAAAACCGGATTAGGTTCATTAACCTTTCACCAGATGACCGAGATGACGTGTCCCGCATAATATTTGCAACACTGACCGAAAAACATCCAAATATTGCATAACACCTACTATGATTAAGCGCCACGAAGAATAGGAAAATAAACTTTACTGTGAAGAACTCAAAGGTGCTTGTGTCGCTTTGTTCCGTAACGTTTTTCCAGCAACAGAGGGGATAGTCTTAAGCCGGATGTCTGCAGTAAATATACTGCAACTGATTGCGCTTGATCGTTGAATAACCTCCTAATTTTATAAACAATAGTGTTATGTCTCAGTTAGCTAATGTTAATAGTCACTTCGTCAAATTTTAATTTAATTTTACTGTCATTAAAAGTCACAATTTCGTAGCCAATTTCTCGCAGCAGCAGCGAATGGCGGTTACGGGTTTTGGACTGGTTTCAATTTATTTCTATGACGTAGGTACCTATAGACGAGATTATGGATGGCTAACATGTAGAAAACGACGTGTAGTCATGATACTACTGGTTTGTATATATTTTTATGTATGAAATCTTACCTAACGAGAAATGGAAATAGGTTTTTTCCATTCAGAAGATAAGATGTCGCTGTTTACATTTATTTCAGATGAGATATTTGCTGCTCGTCTCAAAATATTACTAATTACAAAATGTAGGTACATAATTATGTTTTTAGTGTTTAGTGTGATTTATAAGAGCCTTAATTGTCAGTGTTAAAAGCAAATTTAGTCGGGCCGTTTGTAAATTTCACTACCTATTAAAGATAACTTTGGGAATGCCTAATTTTAATTCAGGACCTAGCCTAATTGCGAAGATTTCTAAAATGTATCGTGAAATAACTTCTAAATGTTGCAAAATTTGTTTGGGATGATGTTTTACTAATTTTATCTTGATAAATGGTTGTTTTTATTTGTTGTTATGTCATCTTAGCATCTGTGTCTTATTCTTCATGGAGTCAGTTTAAGTAATGTCCTTACATTAAGACACTTGGCAGGCTGGCGCCAGTTCTGTCTGAATCCAAAGAGTCCAAAGAATGTCTTTCACTACTGGTTTCCGCGGCTTTGCCCGCCTAAATTTTAGTCTGTCACTAAGATTTAATCGCTCACGTGTTTTCCTTTCAAAATGTGGATAAAAACTGTTTCTTGCTTTAATTTACTTCTATTACAAGTTTCATCTAAATCGGTTCAATGGTTTTATTGTGAAAAGGTAAGACATCGACAGAGCTACTTTCGCATTTACTTATAATAATATTAAACGATCGAATGATGAAGTACGAGTAATGGATATGTAATTGGCCAAGTATATTTATAGTTTCTAAGGATATAACAGTTTTAATTTTGCTAATGAAAATATCAAGACTGATCCGTCGCAGTACACCGTGAATATGCAACAGTTCAGGACAAGGAAGCGACCGCAATCTAGGGTTGTTTACCAACAGGTTGATTGGTGAGGCGACGAGCTTTGTTCAGTACGGAAGAATGCACATCAAGTTAAATAGAGACACCTTAATCAGTCGTAATATGTGCTATTTTGCTTCATAAATGTACAATCTAGTCGGCCGTTTGGTGTAGTGGTTCAGAACAGACTACTATGCCGAGAGGTCCCGGGTTCGATTCCCGGCCGGGCAGAAATTGGAATGATGAATTTTAATTTTTGGGACGGGTCTGGGTGTTTTCTATGTAGATATAATATGTATGTATTTACAAAAAAAAAGTATTTAAGTATGTTTATATCCGTTGTCTAGTACCCATGCCATAGTACAAGCTTTGCTTAGTTTGGGGCTAGCGGCGCAGTGTAAATTAATGTCCAATGATATTTATTTTTATTCTAATAATATTTTGAAGATTGGACCTTTAAAGCGTTAGTTAGTTAGTTCATAATCATCATAATTATTCATCTCAGCCATAGGACGTCCACTGCTGAACATAGGCCTCCCCCAATGCTTTCCATGTTGCCCGGTTGGTAGCGGCCTGCGTCCAGCGCTTCCCTGCTACCTTTATGATGTCGTCGGCCCCCCTTGTGGGTGGACGTCCCACGCTGCGTTTTCCGGTACGCGGCCTCCACTCCAGAACCTTGCTGCCCCATCGGCCGTAAGCGTTGGTTGGTTGAGTAATATTAGAAATTAGATCTTAAGTCGAACTTAAAGTTCACAGTTGCAGATTGTACTCGTATATTTTAACACAATATTTTTTAATTACTCGATAAAAATAATGGGAGATAGTTTTCCTCTAAAAACAGAATGGAATCTTTAGAATTTCATTTTGCGAATAGAGTAAGATATTCACTCAGTAAGACTCAGTGATTTTTGTTTATTCGTTAAAAAATAGATATAAGTAAAGTAATATTAAAATTATTTTATGATGATTAGTTCTATGGATTAATGTATAATGAACTCACTAGTTCTGAAGTACCTCGTTCGCCATTTATATTAGTACCTAAGTAGTTAAATTGTGTACTTAATAATTTTACATAATAAAATACAGGAAAAATCTTCGAGAATTTTATTTTCATACTACTTACAATTACTACATGACTACAGAATAAATTACTATATTAATTTGACAGTTACACATAAAATAAACTGCAGGTAGAGACAATAGCTCTTTATAAATACATTTTTAAATAATGTTTAGCATTAATCCCAAATTCCCTATTTTTATTCAAATTTGGTCAATACCAAAACCTTTTAAAAACTCTTACAACATATTAATAAAGAGTTTTTGAACAGGGGAAATTAATTAAAAAGTAAAAATAAATTAAATAAATTAAGTAAGTTAAGTGATAAGAAGTAGAATAATAAATTACCTCAATCACACACACAATCACACAATAAATTACAAACACTCTTAATAAATAAATTACAATTAAACATGTACTGATTAAGCTTTGTAGCCTTTTTAAAGTAAATTAAAAGTAAAGATAGTTATTATTAAAAACAATATTTCAAGAATAAGTAAAGAATAACATCGTTAAATAAAAGTTACAAACATTTTTAATAATAATGTATAATAATAAAACAATATTAAAATATATTTTATTCGAAATTTTTTCGTTTCGAAATCTAAAGAAAAAATAATTTATTATTCCAGTCTAGCTGGATATAAAAAAGGACATGGGAAAAACTACGACTAGCATTGTAGTAATATTTTGTTAGGTCAATTTATAATTAGCATTTTTTAAAAAAGCCTCTAATTGGAGTGGCTTGTGTTCAAGTGTTTTTAATATCATGGTCACCCTAGGCCAAGTTCAGGATGTGTGCCATGGCCTAAGTTTTATAGGGTATCCTTCAACAGCATTGAGCTCGTATAAACACGTCGTGTGAATTATATACAGGGCGTCCCAAAAAACGCCGTATGTTGTAAAAAAAATCATAACTCGAAAACTATGAAAAGTCGCGGTGATTCGGGTAGCCCTATTGATGTTCTACCTCTGGGCTTCGGCTTGACTCTACTTTTTGGGATACCCTGTATAATGAGTGGAGACCAAGTCGTATGTGACGTAAGGACTTGTACGAAGGATTAGAGTTAAAAGTCGTTTCTTATGCGAACTGGAATTCGAAAATACATTGTAAAATACACATTAAAATAAAGTTCGTTGGTCTCAATTTTAAAAAAGGAAAACGCCCAGTTTCGTTTCAAAGTCACAACCAAGATGTTATATCTCCTAGATGAGACTTAATAAAATATTTTCTATTGAGAAACAAACAAAGAATTTATGGTTATGGCTCAACATGGGTTCCTTCAGTCCTAGCCTTGAATACAATAGAAGCCATTAGGACTATAAAATTTACATTTTGTTTATTCTGTCCTCGAAATAAATACACGATGGAAGACGCTTGTTTATTCCATCTTGAGTTGATACGCCGCCTGAAACAGATGAAAAATAAATTAACCAATCGTTCGTTCGTTTCAGCCGAAGACGTCCACTGCTGGACAAAGGCCTCCCCCAAGGATTTCCACAAAGACCGGTCTTGCGCCGCTCGCATCGAGGCACCTCCTGCGACCCTCACCAGATCGTCGGTCCACTCAACCAATATCTTTATTTAATAAAAAAAATCTACTATTTTATTTTGTTGCCTCCTATTAAATTAGAGAGGATCAAAAGGGGAGAAAAAAACTAAATAAATAAATATTTGTTTCAACACAAGCAGTGGAAAAGTTACTGAAATCACCAACTAGCACTTTGTAGTGTGTGAGTAAAAAACTATGAGACTGTTTTTACAGTTATTTTGATTTACGGTTCAGTTTTGGACCTTTATTGCCAGAACGAGGTCGTTTTAGTTGAATAAAATAATGTTAACGAGGTTTAAATGGTACAAAAATGCACTGGCAGATGCCATATGCCAGATTCATAAATAATGCCAGTGCAGATTACTTTGTTTTTTTGGGTTCCATGCAAATGTAGAAAAAAGACCTGCAAAGCTCTCTTTTCACTAACTTTTCAAAGCGAAAAGAGCTGTCCATTTTAAAACAAACAAGACAAAGGTGACTGAGTTTCTTCCGCAATTTCTTCCTCAGCACCAGCCCATATGTTGTTCCGAAGTGGTGGTAGGGCAAGCTATAAGTATTTGGAACGTGTTTAAGTGCCCTTGAAAGGGCCAATGTACTGAATAAACTATTTGAATTTGAATTTGAAAAAGACTCGCTGAGCGATACTCGCGACAAAAATATTGGAAATTGACGTTCGAGAAAATAGTCGTCAACGTCGACTGTAGTCTTTCTCATCGGGTGAAGAACAAGTGTCTAAGACTGAATTAGTTAACTTAGCTAATGTTCTGTAATCCTATCTGTCTAATTTTTTAGCTTCTTAACCGTCACTAGCTTGTTGATGTCGTGGTAAGCCGCGATCAATATAGTCGATAGGTCGCTTTATGGAATTGGGACAAGTGCACATAGTACGCAGAACTGACGGCCGATGGCGCAGCAACGTTCTGGAATGGAGGCCGCGTACCGGAAAACGCAGCGTGGGACGTCCACCTACAAGGTGGACCGACGACATCGTAAAGGAAGCAGGGAAGCGCTGGACGCAGGCCGCTACCAATCGATCAACATGGAAAGCATTGGGGGAGGCCTATGTTCAGCAGTGGAGCCATAGCTGAAATGATGATGATGATGACAAGTGCCTCAGGTTGACTTAGCAAAACTAGCCGTACCAGTTAGTTCTTCAGCTTCCTCGCAGTCACGAGCTTGTTGATGTCATGGTAGGCCGCGATCATGGTATGAGCTGGTGCGGTGTTCGCCGAGCATGCAGGATGCGCGCGCGTGCAATCCGCGCCTTCTTGCCCGCGTCGAGCAGCGCGCATGTATCTGAAGAACCGAAGTATCTCAGGGTTGTCTGACACTGGACGACGGAGTTCGTTCAGTTCTCTGGAACAAGAATTTATTTATTTATTAGGTACACCAACAAAGTCTGTATAGTACATACATTTTAACATGGTTAACACATGATGAGTATAATAATATGATCTCAATTACAGGTATACACAGCATTTCTTTTTGCAAGGTTAGGGTACTTAAACACTAGACAAATTCTTTGTTATTCCTTGCATAGTGAAGTTAATGAGCTGCAACAGCTTATAAACGGGATTATTCCCATCTATCGCTCTCACCGCTGCAACTCCTGTGTAGCCAGCATCTACAGTTTGGCCGCCAATAAGAACTCAATCAGTGAAGGTCAATCAGGTTATGTGGGACCTTCTACACACCTCACAAATGTACAGTGGACCAAAGGAGAATCAATTTTTGCACGCACTGTGGAGCTTGGTGGACAAGAACAATCTATGGAAACAGGGAGAAGAATCATGGGCTCAAATCAGAAGCATCTTCATACTTCATACCGTCTTGATTTTTAACGTACTTATACAAAGTAACGCACAGGAAAATTTTCGATTCTAAGGAATTCAGGGGATTTCGCTTTCAATACGTCAAAGAAGACGGCTGACATTGGGAATCCTGATTAACCTAATAAAACTGTTTGGATCCAAAAAATGTTGTATCCCGGAATTCCCCAGCGTACATCGAGTGACGTGAACGTACGAGTAAGTAGATTTGTCTGGAGCTATGCAGATTTATTGGAACGATTGTGAAGTTGAAAGAAGGAATCCTTCAATTAGAGAACATTCCCAGTTTCTATGATTTATTTTTTATTGGACTGTTCCCTTTTAGTCGTCGGAATAAAGTATTTGCCTTGAAGATTTTTGGTACTTTCCTCAATTCAGATTTACATGCTGTCACTGCTGTTTTTCTTTAATGTTAAAGAATAGAATGAAAGGCAGTTATTGCTAAACGAAAGACTTATCTAGACTCTCGCGGAAGTAATGAAAAACAAAAGATTTATAATATACCCATGGTTCATGACGCAATCTTTCTTGTGTCTATAAATTCGAACATCGTCGACATTGGTAAATATAAATTGCGTTAAGAATAAACAAAATACAAGGGGAAATAATATACCTAGTTAAATATTCAAACAATACATGTGAAGCCTCAATGTAACCTAGTTGGTGATCAAATAAATAAATAAATACGTTACAACAGAATTTTACAAAAATATTCCCATCCATTGTTCGATTGGCAGAAAATTGAGTTCCAAAAATACATTCAAATGCTTTTAACACTCCGTATAAATATTCGGATGCGGGTGAAATATGTAAAATCCGTTCGCGTCTGTTTCTGCAATGTATGCAAATTGGTTCTTGACACAAGAAGGAATTTCTAATTGTCAAGGAAATACGTTGAAGCTCTTCTGTGGGAACTCGGCTTGTGAGAAAATGAAAATAGCGCTGGTTAAATAATAACATTCAAGTAGGTATGTTTCGCTCAATAAATTCGTAATGATTTGTTTAAGACCAGAGCCCTTTTAGGAGTGATTTAATTAATCAACTGTGACTAGGCCTGCCGCAATGATTTTCAGATTGACGCTTGGTAGCGCCCTGCATTCAGCGCATGTACCTATTAGGTCATCTGTCCACCTTGTGGGTGGTCATCCCAGGCTTCGGTTTTCAGTCACGTACCGGCGTACGTAGACTCAATTCCAGAACCTAGAGGCCCCATCATCAGATTCAATCCCAGGCTTCGGTTTTCAGGTCACGTAAAGGCGTACGTAGACTCAATTCCAAAACCTTGCTGTCCCATCAGCCGTTAGTTCTGCGTGCTATGTGCCCTGCCTATTGCCACTTGAGCTTGCTAATTATTCATCGGGCTTTGTCAGGGATTTAAGTTAATTTACGGATCTTCTCATTTCTGATTCGATCTCGTAAAAAAACACCAAGCAGAGTCGTCTCCATAGCACGCTGTGCAACTTTGAGCTTCCATATTATGTTCTTTTGAGCCCATAGTGAGAGGTCACGTTTCAGTACCACGTTATCAATCATACATACCTGCTCAACTGGGCAGAGACGAGGTTGCTATACGGTGCGTATTTGGCCGGGCTGGCGTACATGAGGCAGATGAGCTGTTCCCGACAGGCCTCCAGCTTCACATCGCTCAAGTTCTGGCCCCCTATCTGGGTGCCGCCGTCTGCTGAGTTATCTGAGGGGGTCAGACCTGAAAAAGAAAAGGTATCATCAATATTAGTTAGGATCAGATATCCCAAGATAGCCTGGTCATCCCAACTAATATTATAAATGCGAAAGTAACTCTGTCTGTCTGTCTGTCTGTTACGCTTTCCCGCTTAAACCTCGCAACCGATTTTGATGAAATTTGGCATAGAGATAGTTTGAGTCCCGGGAAAGAACATAGGATAGTTTTTATCCCGGTTTTTGAAACAGGGACGCGCGCGATAAAGTTTTTCTGTGACAGACAAAATTCCACGCGGGCGAAGCCGCGGGCGGAAAGCTAGTACCAAAATAAAATGACAAAAGGCACAGACTAAGATATATTCAATGTTAGTCCGGAAACTCGTTGAGGATGAGAAAAAATACAACGACGTAATGGTGATTAAAACCTAACCTAAATGGGATCTAGGAGAAGAATATCATGCTACCTTTGTCACAAAAGTATTGTTTTATGAGAGTCAAATAAACTTGAGGGTCAAAGATTTTTGGGGCACTTATAGGCGCTAAATAAAATGGTTTTGTTTAGAATATTTTCTTGTTCTTTTAAAAAACGTGGACAATGTCACGAACATAACCATTTTATAGAGATTTTTTTCTACTAACATTGCAGAAGCATCAGCTAGCTACCCTGTGATGCAGTTTTTGTACCTAGCCCTTTACCTATCTAGTTCTAAATTACCATTTACATGATTCAACAATAAAGGCCAACCATTTAGGTCATGGTTCCAGTGTTCATTTGTGCCAAGTTTGTTCTTGCATCAAGTTAATAGGGAAAATCCTTACATAGTTTTCAATTCAAGAGTACGAGCTGGAACGAGTGCCCTTACTGCAAGCAACATAACACCTAATTTGTATTGTATTAAGAGTTTAATGATCCAGAATGAAGAATGAAAGAAATTAGATCATCTAAAAAATAAATAAAAAAACAATGTTATTTCAGTAACAAGTGTTGCTTTCGTTATGTTATTGGTTATTTTAAAAATTTCATTTTTAAACTGCAGCTTTCAATGTAAATATGTAGGTAATATAGAAGCCGACTTAAGTAAAATTAATTTAATAAATATTGAATGGATAGTAAGCATTTCAGATAAAAATCGTTTATGATTTTTTATCGAAATACCAAAAATGTTTGTCTATTTAAACACTTCCCAGAAACCTAGCAACCTTTATAGTTTTGTATTTGAATTATTTATAGACAGCTTTTGCCCTATTAAGATACATTATTCAAGGGCTCGTCAATCTTTTTATCACAACAGTAATATAGGTTGCGCAACGAAAGTTGAAGCTAACACTTACTCAGGCTGATGTAGGTACTTAATATTTGAATACAGAAAACAGACTACACATTCAAGTTCAAATGTAGCCGGGTCTCCAGCACGTGTTTTCCTTACACAATCAACAAAATCATGTGAACATTCAACCAAATTTTTTGTCTATAAAACATTGTTTCACTACAGCTTTTTGTTTGCATCAACAATTTTTTTGCTTTCCATGCCCAGTTGAAAACTTGTACGTAGTGAAACAATGGTTTTGTTGATTGTGTAGGGCCAAGCACGCGCTGGAGACCCAGCTTATAGAATACACTCTCTTGTTTATTATCTGAGGTCTTACCACGAGTTTACGTTAGGTGTGCTCGCTAGCGAATTTGTCAAAAAAATCTATGAAAATTCTAGTTCTTGAAAGTAGCCGCTAGGGGCGCTGTACATTGTACAGTGTACAATCTATCATACATTTAACGTAATTTTTTTACGCAGTCGCTAGCGAGCATAACGTAAACTCATGGTAAGCATACTGTTATGTTAGCGAGACAAAAAGCAGTTGTCAGACCTTCTACGTAAGACATCTGCGCCGACAGCGCGTGTAAAGATACAAATCTTTGCTCATGTTGATGGCCTCAACACTCGTTGAGTGACGTACAAGTTAAAACGAAGCTAATGTTTAATGTCAGAAGTGAGACATATGAAATGTTAATGTGATTCTGGCTGCGAGGCAGGATACGCCCTATTTCTGGAATTACCGGTAATTTTTATACAGAATTCTGAGGGTACGCGTTACATTCAAAGGTTTCTTTGGATATTGCCAATAACAGCTGTTGTATCAAATATCTGTAGGCGAATCGCGTTATTGCTTTTTGTGTGAAATGACAATTTTTTGGGGTTCCTTTATACACTCGACATCAAATAAATCGCACCTCCCGCGACAAGCATTTTCAAACGTATGCTTCCCCACTTCCCACCAATATTGGTACCATTTGAAAGCCTAGTTCTAACCTTCATTTCATTAAAGGAAAGGTTTTTACCCCAAAAATGTGTCTTTAGAAGGATCCAGAGTCACTTCTTCAAAAAATAGGTAGTTACGCTAGAGCCAACTTTTATGGCTATAAAACTGTTAAGTTGGGATTAATCGCTATTCATCTGTTAAAGAGGACACGTGAGATCATTATTTGGTTTTATAACCATAAAAATTGGTCTAATTGATCCCATAGGTGGGCCCAAAGTGAGGTATTTTTTCAAGTCACGTTTATGGTATATGTTAATCATTTATTAAGAAATTAAATGTGTTTTTTTTTAAGGATATTTATTGGGCTTTCAAATAACACCAATATTGTTGGGGCACCATGATTGTGTCAGAAAAAAATCGTTAAAGTTCGCGTCGCGGAAGGTGCGGTTTATTTGATGTTGAGTATATTTTCAACTCTAGGTCTCTAGCCTTTTACAGAAGACTGGCATGAATTTCTGGACTCCATGACACATTTAAAGAAAGAAAAGTATGTATTTATTTGGTGCAAGTATTTAAAGCATTACAAATGAATAACACTTTAAGACTATACAATAGAGTACAAGCACCAAATCCGCTCAGTATAAAAATAATAGCAGACTTATCAACTCGGAAAGGGATCAACAACGTATCGCTTTTCGCGAGCTGTCATCGCCGTCGCGCGCTGTCGATTGCGAGAGGAGGCATTTAAGTTACGGTGCGGATAAGCGTGCGTTGCAGTAAGTAGTTTCATACAAAGTATAACATACTGACCGCCTCGAGTTGATACGGTTACGATCCCTTTCCGGGTTGATAAATGTGCTACGTCCTTAAGCCGTGACGGCAGAGAGCACTATACAGATACACTCTATAATTAGTTTTACCCTCAACTCGTGTGGACTCAGAGTGATACTTCTAGGTACGCATCACATGTAGCGTATTTTCAAAAAAAACAAAAATAGCTAAGTAATAAATGACGTCACAGTAAAAAAACAGTGAAAATAAAATTAGTGAATCCTAAAAAGAGAAAACAGTCTTCAGACCTGAAAGAATCCAAACACCGGAACCCTGTTTCGTACAAAGTTTCTTTAAATCCTTTGTTCTCGATCGCAATGGAAAGGGCACGTACTTTCATAAAGCGAGTAATAACTATTCCTTTTATTGTATCGGAATCTTGTTTCTTTGTGCGATAATCGTCCTGTGACATGAGTATTCGTTTAGATCGTTTTGTGATTTTTAATCTTTAATGCAATACAAATGGTACATAAGGCGAACTTAATGCCATCAGACATTTTCATCTAGTTAACCTTTGGGCTAAAGGAACAAAATGATAATGCGTCTTTTCATTAGTTAGGCTTGAGAGAGACTAACACCCGTATTCACAAACATTACTATGAGGTCTCATAGTACGCGTGGATGCACAGGGTGACACACGAACCAATCACAGAGCTCTATTCAATGCTGTGCATTCGATTTGCTGCTTCACTTAAGCAAGCATCGTTTGTGAATACGGGCGTAAGAGAGGATGTAGTGCTGTATCAATAACGGCATTGAATTTTAAAATATACTTCTGTTAGTTATTTATGACGTAAGCATCTAAGGAATATTTTCCAAAATTTACCCCCCAAAGGGATGAAACGGGTCGTATTTTTTCTGGCAGGTCCAATAAAAATAAGCCTTATGCTATTGAAATTAGGTTGGTATTGCTTACCGAGCCTGGCGAAGATCCCGTCGAGTCGTGACAGCAAGGGAGAGTAGAACGGATCGTAGTTGCTTAGGATCATAGAAGAGGCTGGAATTTTCTGGAAAACCTGTAAAAGTATGGAATTATTTAAGAAACTGTTCCGTGTACGCACCTACTCTATCATTATAGTACACTCGGGTGCCGGTCATCCCATAGGTAAGAGATAGGTAACTATTTCGTTTATGGATTTTATAATTGGTGTATAAGAAAGGTATTACATCTAAGGCCAATGCACACAACATTTTTTATAGCGCCATCGACGCGCTTTTGTAGCAATACAGACGCGATACCACAGAATAAGTAATAGTACAGGTACAGAAGGATTACTCCGCAAGACGATTTAAATAAATGCGAGTCTTGCTACGACGCGATACAGTGGAATTCAGCTCGCACAGCACTACGTACCTACAATTTTATTCACCTACAAGGTTTGTCTCTTTCTATCGCGTGCCTCTGAACTCTTCTTACTCTGTTAGGGTTGCCGTCTAGTGAAAAAATAATTAGGTATGTAGGTAGGTAGTATGCATTCATTATGGAAAACCTTGGGAGAGGCCTTTGTCCAGCAGTGGACGTCATTTGGCTGAAACGAACGAACGCATTCTGAGCAGTAGTCATAGTAGGTTAGGTTCCTATACTATCCTAAGAATTATTGATTACCTACATGGCCAACATACCTTTCAGCATCTTTGGGAAGCGAAAAAAAAAGATAAATCCGGTAGATTTCTTTTCGAATTTAAACACCCGAACGCCGCACAATATTTCTTTCTCTTTATGTCCATTTTTAAATAATACTTCGATCATAGAATTATAATCATACTACAACGCACGCCAGCGTCCTGACGGGCGCGCGCGTGACACTCGACTGATATAATACCCGCCGGCGGGGCGCTTCGCTGTAGGTAATTATCGGATGTACCGCGCGGAGTGAGCCAGGCCTGGCGATACACACGAAAGTTGGACCCAATCTATGGAAGTTTGTAGGAAAAAAGTCGGTGGGTTTAAAAAACGTAGTGTGCATAAGCCCTTATTTTGTATAGACTTTGGGGACATTTGCTATTTTTGGACGTAAAGTTCAAAGTAATTAGTAGGTCAAGTAGATTTTTTATGCGATTTACTTTCAATGAAAGAACTTTTGCACATTATACTCACTTTGTAATTGTTAGCAGTCGCCATCTGGCCCTTATAATAGCCGTTCTTGGTGGGTAGGTACGACACTTTCTGTCCCCCCGCGCCGTACCTGAAATATGAGTAAAGTTGTACCCTTGAAACAAAAGTAAAAAATGAGAAACGCCTGTTTTAGAGGCTTTAAATAGCCTAGCACTTGGCGAGATTACCTGAAAAATTTGGGTATTAAAAACTATAACAAAAGATGAAATATTTGTCTGAGAAGCCAAAATGGCCTAACGGTTTAGCAAAATGATTTTGTTTCGTTAGGAGATCAAATTCTATCGCTATGGGCCCCTGGACTATAATTTGTTAATCCACTTCTATTACAATCATACCTGGAAAGATAGCAGTGAGGGAGATTTTTAGAAAAACTAAAAAAGCTTTTTTCGTAAAGAGAAAGGCAGTTTCATAGATAAAGGCGTCAGTGCGACATGTCTATATCCAGCCTATCTACACTGGTCATCATAAAAATCGACCCTCCCGCGACAAGCACTTTCAAACGTATGCATCCCCACTTCCCACCAATATTACTACATATACTATATTACCATTTAAAAGCCTAGTTCTAAACTTCATTTCATTAAAGGAAAGGTTTTTACCCCAAAAATGTGTCTGTAGAAGAATCCAGAGTCACTTCTTCAAAAAATAGGTAGTTACGCTTGAGCCAACTTTTATGGCTATAAAACTGTTAAGTTGGGATTAGTCGCTATCCATCTGTTAAAGAGGACACGTGAGATCATTATTTGGTTTTATAACCATAAAAATTGGTCTAATTGATCCCAGAGGTGAGCCCAAAGTGAGGTCTTTTTTCAAGTTTTTCAAGTCACATTTATTGTATAATCTTAATCGTTTATTAGGAAATTAAATGTGTTTTTCTTTAAGGATATTTATTGGGCTTTCAAATAACACCAATATTGTTAGGGCACCATGATTGTGTCAGTAGAAACGAGTTTTCCTGTAAAACGTAGGTGGGCCGATTTTTGTGATGACCAGTGTAGTTTATCTCTACATTGAAGTATTTGATCATTTCATAGGCGCTATACTCATACACGCAGTATGTAGCCATAACTATAGATCGTTTCATCCACGAAGACGCGCCCCACCATTCTTCCGCTAATGTTTTAGTGTTATCGGTACACGCTAAATTATCCATGAGTGCACAATCACACTACAAATAACGCTCGGATCAAAATTACCGCATCTCGCGCTTCCATCGATCAAAAATTGGTGGGCCCGTCTTCGTGGATGAAACGATCATCGAACGTCACGTTTATCGAAAATTCCCAAATCACGCTAATGCTTTATTAGTCTATCGCGTACAAAAAAACTGGAGCAATCTTTGAATGAGAAAAAGCGCAAACCCGTCAAATATTGAACAAAACAGGGGAAATGAAAAATGAAATTCTTCTGGAAATTAGGGGCTTATTGAAAAATAAATTGGGCAGATTACGACGATTGTCAGTACAAAGATTTGAAGATGCCAACGCAATGTATGTGGTTCAGTAGGTCTTCTAAAAAGAACTTCTTCATAGCATGATTGCAAAAAGTAAATTTCTTGCTTCAAAACCGGTGTGAAGAAGAGTTGGCCAAAACCGCTAAAGTTTTTTTAATTTTTTTTATAAAACCATTTAGCTCAAGTTGAATTATTTATGAAATTACTGGAGTATTTCATTATCCACATTTTAAACCTGGGCTTTCGATATTATACTTCAAACTTATCCTGTATATTTTGTTGCAGTTTGTAAGACAAGATAGTCAGCTATCATTCGGGACTACAATGCCTACTCGATCTTCACTGGTTGGGTTTCATTGGCGGCCAAACTGTAGATCTTGACTAAGTATACAGGAGTTGCAGAGTGATGAACACGAAAGAATAGATTGTCACGTCCATTTTTCTCAGTGAAAATTATCAATGGATGTATGAAGGTAAAGAAGAGCAGATAAAGGTAGCAGAGAAGCGCTGGACGCAGGCCGCTACTAATCGATCAACATGGAAAGCATTGGGGGAGGCCTACGTTCAGCAGTGGACGTCCTATGGCTGGAATGATGATGATGATGATGAAAGAAGAGCATTTACTGAATATACCTCTACTGTGGCTTCATTGACAGCGGCATTTCATTGAAAATACGCAATTTGCTCTGTTACAGGATTATTCCGAGGTTTTATTTGATAAATTATTGTTTTATCGAAGAATGGTGCTTTCTCAGGGAAATTATTTGAGTTATGATTTACGCGTTGGAATAATTGGAGTTATAAGAAATTAACGGAAACAAAAAGAAATTTATGTTACCTTCTTCTTAATTCTATAATTAAGAAGAAGGTGATGGCTAATTGCCTAACCAATGGAATTTTTCACAATGTTTGCAATAACAATGGGAAGGTGGATGATTTAGACAAATGGATGATTTGACGTACACTCTTCACGTTCTGGCCAGACGGGATGGGGAGGTCTGATTCTCCTTTTGCGACATCTACGTCCCTATTATCTGCCGGAAACCATATGACTACGGGACTTATCGCACTACAATTTCCCGCCACGCAACTCTTTTTGGCCAAGATCTACAGTTTGGCCTCCAATAAAACTCAATCAGTGAAGGTTGATTAGTCAAGGGGGATATTTTGTTTTGGAACCCGCAATGAATTTAGTCAGAAGAATTGTCAAAGTCAGAGTCAAAATTTCTTTATTTGTTTAATAGTTCTTACAAATCGTCATTTTGCTCTTAAGGTAAGGAGCCTCTACATGTCTCATAATCTTTTTACCCTACCAGCGCTTCGAGACCAACATTTGGCAAGTGCTGAGAAGAAGCGCCGCAACAAACTCAGTCACCACTGTCTGCCGGTTAATATAAATAAATAGAAATAGTAGTAGTAGGTACATTCGATTCAGGAGCAGTTCACTGAATTTACCATGCATTCTTGTATGGTGTATCTTATAAGAATGGGTATACAAGATTGCGTGGTATATTAAACAAGGTAGTGACGTGCTAATATCTAGACTTACATATTAAGATACTAGTAGAAATGACTCGCATACATAAATTTGAATAATTATAGGAGGAGTTCCAAATATACCTAATGTCGACCATATGACTAATAATATTGCCTCAAACACCTACTAACCGTGACTCTAGTATGCTTAATTGAGATGAGGGTATACATAATATATCCACAAAAAGATTGTAGGAGATTGATTATAGGAGTGGTCTTATTCTCCTCTAACGGAATCACACGCTAATTCTATCAAACATATCGACTTACCGTGACATATCAACATTAGAGAGGTCGTTCGCATCCTGGTCCATGTTTCCATAGAACCCGTCGTTGGGGTACGCGTAGGCCCCAGTCGGACTGGTCTCGTACCCCATGAAGTCTTTGTTGTACCCCATGAAGTCAGCTTGTATTATTTGTCCCTTAGACGCGTCTTAAGATACCACAGAAAGAGTAGGTGTGTGTCAGAAGAATATAGGAGTTCCAAGTATAATGTCGACCATAATGACTAATAATATTGCCTCAAACACCTACTAACCGTGACTCTAGTATGCTTAATTGAGATGAGGGTATGCATAAGATACCTACAAGAAGATTGGGAGTGGTCTTATTCTCCTCTAACGGAATCACACGCTAATTCTATCAAACATATCGACTTACCTTGACATATCAACGTTAGAGAGGTCGTTCGCATCCTGGTCTACATTTCCATAGAACCCGTCGTTAGGGTACGCGTACGCCCCAGTCGGACTGGTCTCGTACCCCATGAAGTCTTTGTTGTCGTTGTTGTACCCTGTCTGGTCGTCTGCAGGAGCTGGTGGGTAGCTGGCTTGGCTGGAGGAAGCTGAGAGCTGGGAGATGCCTGGACAGATAGTAATAAACGTGAAGGAATACACAGAGGAGACGGCAAAGAATATACAGGGTGTTAGTTAGGTTTATAAGTCGACACTAGCCCATGTTAACATATATGCACATAAATGGTATTAGTCCAGTCAATAAAGCATTAAAGAGGGAAATCCGTGGAACATAATTTCTGACTTCGGGACTTTATTTATTTGATCTAGACTAAGTAGTTAGGAGGTGAACACCATAGCAAAAGTCCCCGCCCTTAGCCCTTGAGTCGGTGGGGAGAGGGGGGTTTGAAGGTACCATTTTGTGTTCCAGGCATTTCCCTCTACACCGTCGTTAAGGCATTCATTGACTGGACTATAAGGTGAAGTCAGTGATAACATCATTTTAATTTTTTAAATTTTCATAAAAAATAAAATTTATAAAATCTGATTTGGTATGAAAATTAAAATAATTAAAATGATGATATTAATTTTCTGACTTCACCATACCATTTATATGCACATAATGGGCTAGTGTCGGCTTATAAACCCATTTACCTAACACCCTGTATAAGAGGTATATTTTTTTAGGTACTAGAACAGAAACGAGAGATACTAGGAAGATAAGTTGACTTATTATTTTTCACTGGAATAAATATAGTTATTGTACACATAGATAGATCGTACGCTGGGTCAGGAAAGTTCTTGAGTGGCGACCACGAGCCGGAAGACGTAGCGTGGGCAGGCCTCCCACTAGGTGGACCGACAATATGGTGAAGGTCGCGGGAGGTGCCTGGAAGCGAGCGGCGCAGGACCGGTCTTTGTGGAAATCCTTGGTGGAGGCCTTTGTCCAGCAGTGGACGTCTTTCGGCTGAAACGAACGAACGAACGAACACGTCATAGATACTGGTTTTTCGGAAAAAGGCAAATCAAGCTAATCCCACTGACGTAATACGTATTGTGCAAAAGATATTTTATTGCCTTTTTCTGTTGAATAAATGCAATTTAGGGAAAGCGATTACAATCGCAAAACGAATGTTAAAATATCTAAGACTGCGAAAAATTGAATTTTATGATACGTGAAGCTGAAAATAACGAAATTGATTTTCTCATGCGCGATAGTACTACTGATGATTTTACTTAAACCTATTCAGCTTTATAGTCCAGTAGAATTAGCTTTTAAATCGGAAATAATTCCTACAAAAGATTTTATTGTTTTAATGGCTTGTTAGGGTTACACTGGTTAAGGCGACCCTTTACAAGGCTTGGAAGCATGTGGGTAACAAGCCATTGGACGTGGCCTCTCCACGTCCAATGGCGGTCATTAATTATACGTATATTTTCAACTTTGTCGAACTTTAGCGCCAGAACGGTTTGTCCAAAACATATGAATTTGGTCTTATTCAATGCAGGATTAGGTGCCCTTTAACCGTCATGAAGACCACTTTTCGATAGGGTAAGTCCTTTACGCGGTATAACCGGAAAACCGAAAAAACGCCCCTTTCGGGGGCCCCCACCACTTAAGCACAACTCCGTCGAAGTCGAAAACTTAGGAGAGTCTTAATGGGCAACCAATGAAGCCATTAAAGCAAAAAAATCTTTTGTAGGAATTATTTCCGATTTAACCCTCAGTTTGCATGGTGACTAAAACTTACGCTAAGTGTAAGGTGGAGACCCTGGGACTCCATATTTCAAATGAAGAAAAAATAGACTCAAACTTATAAAAGTAATATATTTTTTATTTGGTAACATGATATGGTTAATATACTATTAATTAGAAACAACAGAAATAGAAACATTAATTAACAATCATTTGAAAATTTTTTTTTTCATTTAGTCGTAAAAATCACATAAAAATCGACATAGCCATTTAGTACCTCATAAACTTAGAAAAAAAATTATCCAAAAAAATTTATTTTTCCAAATTATGTGGACATAACAGTCTTCTTAATAAATAATATCTAAACTGTTAGAAAAATTACACGAAAAAACGTGCAATGACTTAGTAATTAGTACGAGCAGCACATTGCCTGCAAAACTTTTTCGAATAATATAAGTATATTTTTTGTCAAATTAATTTCAAAATAAGCAGTCTTTGTTTTTATTCATCAAAACACATCATCTAAATACAATATCACCAAAAAAAAAACTTTCGGGACATAAGATGTAATAAGATGTAAAGTCCTCTTCTTTTCCTTCATCGTCTGCATTTTCTTCTAGATTTCCTTATATCTGAGGCCTCATTTTCATCTACCGTATTGATAAATTATGTATTGTGACTGTTCAATGCTTTTTGATCCACTTAAACCATTAATATAACTGTAGGATAAAAAAAAACATAATATCATAATACAATTTTTTGCTACACAAAGTGTATGGTGGAGTCCACGGGACTCCGCAAGTGTCAATTACTCACCTTTCTGTGATGAGCACGCACACAACCTCTCGCCCTCGAGTTGGCCACGACACCAAAGGAAGCTACTCAAGCGCACAACACTGTATACGCGTATTGAAAAATTTTATGGACCAAAACAGTTTCACATGGAGTCCCTGGGACCTACCATGCAAATTGAGGGTTAATCAATTTTTGTGTTTAATTCTACTGGCCTATTACTTTATTTATAGAATCGTATAAAAGATTCATAATAAAATGACGCCTAGGTAAGTATAGAAAGTTATATCTAATAATAAGATCTTATCTACGACACTAAATTAAGCAGCAGGAAACTAAACTGGTCGAGTGACATAAAACACTCCATAAAATCCATACTTCATAGACATCTACTTATAATATGGTGCAACCCAGCCTTTTCTTACTAAGGCTGGGTTGCACCATATTACTTTAACTTTGACAAACGTCAAAAATCTGTCAAACTCCATACAACAAGCACCGGTTAGCGTTATAGTTACGGTCAAAGTTAGGTGGTGCAACTCAGCCTTAGAAGTCAAAGTGGGGTCAAAGATCTAACTAGACTGAGATTTTACGACTTTTGTCTATGACTTACAATTACTTACACTTATCTACACTAATATTATAAAGAGGAAAACTTTGTTTGTTTGTTTGTTTGTTTGTTTGTTTGTTTATCTGGAAGTGATTAGAATTTGGTCTTATAGGTCAGCCATGTAGATTTTTAGACGTCAATACCTAGAGAACCGTTTGAGGTATATTTATGAAATTTGAAGCTGATGTTTATCTTGCAAGTCTCAACACATGAGCCAAATTTGAAGTGTTAATGCACAGTACTTTTTGAGTGCTGAGGAGTCAAAAGTGGCTTCAATTGGTTCATCTAAATATACGCACGGTGCAGTCCCCTCCCTGGAACTAGGCTTAACATGCTCCCGCATGTCTAGAATATTAGCTCAATGTTGATTTAGTCGATTTTCTCCTAATGGAAACATGTAAGACAAAAATAAAATTTCCAATATTACAGACCTTCTAGAGCAGATGCTGCGAAAACTATACAAGATATAGAAAAACTTGACTATCTCACCTGTAGCAAATTGAATAAGCTTTTTTTGATTCATAGTAGTCATGTCACTAGGACGCATAGTTTTCGAGGATTAAGCGAAAAACCGAAAAGTGGTACTTTTAAACTCCCCTCTCCCCGCCGGCTCAAGGGCTAAGGGCGGGGACTTTTGCTATGTTCACCTCCTAACTAGTCTAAATAAAGTCCCGAAGTCAAAAATTGTGTTCTATGGATTTCCATCTATAATGCTTTATTGACTGGACTAATTACAAAATACGCGCTCAGAAATTCAACTTGTATTGAGAATCTTCGTAAATGCTTTTAAAACGATCTACAACAAGTGTAATGAAAATTTTCGATAAAATAAAATACGCTCCTGAATTCAAATTCTTTAGAATCTTTGTAAATGCTTCTAAAATAAAACTTACTCAAGTTTGATGAAAATTATCAGCTTACAAACAAAGGTTCTTGGAATCATATGATTTGTCTCAAACTTTAAAAAATAAAAGTTTATTCACAAGCTACTACTATCCCTTAAAGCCTCGCGAATCGAGACACAATAGAAATCAATTGTTACGTAGTCATTATGCGTGCCGTGTGGGGACGGCCGTAAAAGAATACTTTTCCCCACCGCCAACAGGAGGCGTGTCGTAAGAGGCGACAAACTCCTGTAGCACCGGACGGGCAGCAGCGTCTGCGTGCGAAACCAAGTAAAAAACTGCGATCGCCAACCCGCCTGCCAAGCGTGGCGATTAGGGCAAAACCCTCCAAATGGTAGCACAAACAAAAAAACGGCCCCTAGTCCCCGGCGGCCCCACTATCCCGGACCACGGTAGCGGTCACGGTAACGGTGGGGCAAGGGGTGCGAAGAATCCCCGGGGGATGCCAGGCTACCAACACCGACGACCTCTGGCCCTGGCAACCTATAACGCTCGCACACTGCGTACAGACGTGAAGCTAATGGAACTCGAGGAAGAGTTGAGCAGGTTACGGTGGGATATCGTGGGATTATGTGAAGTCCGAAGAGAGGGGGAGGACACCATAATTCTTAAATCCGGAAACCTGCTCTATTTCCGGGAGGGCGACCAGCAGTCCCAGGGTGGTGTCGGGTTTATCGTCCACAAGTCCCTTGTCAACAACGTGGTCCAGATCGAGAGTGTTTCGGCGAGGGTAGTGTACCTGATACTCAGAATCACCAAACGGTATTCGCTGAAGGTCATACAGGTATACGCACCGACCACGGAACACCCCGACGACGAAGTGGAGACCATGTATGAGGATATTTCCAGAGCCATACATGGCTCCCGGTCCCATTTTACCGTTGTGATGGGGGACTTCAACGCGAAGCTAGGTAAACGAAGCGATAATGAGCCGAAAGTGGGGCAATTTGGGTACGGAGAGAGGAACGCACGTGGCCAACTGCTGGCTGGCTTTATGGAGAGGGAGGGCCTCTTTATGATGAACTCCTTCTTCAGAAAGCCAAAACAGCGAAAGTGGACATGGCTGCATCCCAATGGCGCTACAAAAAATGAGATAGACTTCATCTTGTCGACGAAGAAGCATATATTCAATGATGTCTCTGTGATCAATTCGGTCAAAACAGGAAGCGATCACCGAATGGTAAGAGGCACATTGAATATCAGACCCAAGCTCGAGAGATGTCGACTGATGAAGTCTACGCTCCGCCCAGCGCCCATCCAACTCCAAAACCCCGAAAGCTTTCAGCTCGAGTTGCAAAATCGTTTCGAATGCCTAGGAGACTGCGAAAATGTGGACAAATACAATGACAGGTTCGTGGAAATTGTCCAAACGACTGGGTCTAAGTTCTTTAAAACCCGTCGTTCAAAAAGAAATGAGGAGATCCGTAGGAGAACCAAGGTAACCGACATAGCTCGCAGAATTGCTAAAATCAAGTGGCAGTGGGCGGGGCACATAGCTCGTAGAGACGATGGCCGTTGGGGCAGGAAAGTTCTCGAGTGGCGACCACGGGCTGGAAAACGTAGCGTGGGCAGGCCTCCTACTAGGTGGACCGACGATCTGGTAAAGGTCGCGGGAAGAGCCTGGATGCGGGCAGCGCAGGACCGTTCATTGTGGAAAACCTTGGGGGAGGCCTTTGTCCAGCAGTGGACGTCATTTGGCTGAAACGAACGAACGAGTCATTATGCGACCGCTTGGGGTTTGATGGCTATTACGCACGCATTTTTATTGAACAAAATCACAAACATTTAATATTATTGTTTTCAAAAACAGGACTCACCTTTTCCCAATATCTTTCCGAAACTCCCCAGAATGCTTGGCAGGAACATGGCGAACAAAATAGACTTCAGCAGAACTTGGCCCCCGATCAGGAGAGGCACGAAGAATTTGTTTAGGCCGAAAGCTGGAATGAGAAGAATATTTTTAGAATGAAAACTATTATTATAACAATAGGCAATAAAGAATTAAATTAAGTAACGCCCGTATTCAAACGTACAAACATTACTATGAGGTCTCACAGTGCGCGTGGACGCACAGGGTGACACACGAACCAATAATAGAGCTCTATTTAACGCTGTGCGTCAGTGCGTTCGATTTGTTGTATCACTTAAACAAGCATCGTTTGTAAATACGGTGAATTTACAAATAGTTTTGCGTACTTTGGAGTTCGGTGAAACAAGATTTATTAATTTATGTTACCACTAGCTTTCCGCCCGCGGCTTCGCCCGCGTGGAATTTTGTCTGTCACAGAAAAACTTTATCGCGCGCGTCCCTGTTTCAAAAACCGGGATAAAAACTATCCTATGTTCTTTCCCGGGACTCAAACTATCTCTATGCCAAATTTCATCAAAATCGGTTGCGAGGTTTAAGCGGGAAAGCGTAACAGACAGACAGACAGACAGACAGACAGACAGACAGACAGACAGAGTTACTTTCGCATTTATAATATTAGTTGGGATAGTTGGGATAATCTATCCAATTTGTTTTCCGCGGCTCGATTCGAATACTACACTTTATCCTGAATTCCATTATTTTTAGAATTATTAAGGTGGGTTCACACCATAAGCATTCACGTGTAATGTAACATCAGCGAGACAGGGCGTTCCAAGACAGTTAGCTATCCCCTAAGATTTACTAGTTGGGTTTCATTGGAGGACAAACTGTAGATCCTGACTGTACAGGAGTTGCAGTGGTGGGAAAGAGTGGTGGGAATAGTGCCGTTAGTCCCGTTTATGTAAAATTATCATTGATTTGCGACGTGATGTTATAGATCATAATTATTATGAGCCAGTGTGATTTGCTTTTGTAACCTACTAAACTAACTTTTATTAGATAGTTACTAACTGTTTACCCGACTGCGTTAGAAGAAGCGTTATGTTTTTTTTAGAATAAGTTCGGAATTTAAATAGAGTCACATCTGTACACTAGTTACCTAAAATATTTTCAAATAACTTGAACAAAATGGACGCGTAAAAGCAATGTGTCATTGGTTTTTATGATATTTTTGACACTGATACAATGGTACGTGCCAGAATATTAAACACATGAATGCTTCCAGTCTGTGCTCACCTTAAAAAAAATAAAAAAATATTTTTGCAGCGATTGTTGGATGTCACCGACAACAAATTCGTGTAACAATTTTAACATAACATCAAATATTCTATTTGAAAAATCCTCCATCCTTCCGAACAATTTTAATGAAAAAATAATACTTTCGTAACATTGTTCTCGAATTTAATATTTGAACAACGCACGAGGTTTATTATAATATTATTTTTTGCGTCATTAACATTACAAACAATTTCATTTAATTTTCATTTGTAGCCTTTAATATCTATAAAATAATAGAGGTGACCTGGGGATTTATCACGTGGTAATCTATACGAATATTATAAACAGGTAAAAGTGTGTTTGTATATTTGTTATTGTAAGGGGTAATCTCGGGATCTACTGAATCGATTTTAAAAATTCTTTCACCAATAGAAAGTCACATTATTGCTGAGTGTCATAGGTTATATAAAAAACCGAAATAATCTAGTAGCATATAAACTGGAAGACGTAATGTGAACAGACCTCCCATTCTAGGTGAACCGACGATCTGGTGAAGGTCGCGGGAAGTACCTTGACGCGGACAGCGCAGGACCGGGCTTTGTGGAAATCCTTGGAGGAGGCCTTTGTCCAACAGTGGACGTCATTTAGTTGAAACTAATAGTACCTATATAGCGCTATTTAGCTTTTTTAGTAGCGTGTTATAAGGGAAACTTTTGCAACTTTCATCGATTTGGCGCTGTGAAGTTTTGAACTTCACAGGATTAATTTTTATTAATTGGTTGAATTTCAAAGGTCTGTCTCTACATTTGAACGTTTATGTATCTTTGTGAATTAATCCAAGTTCAAAGGTTAACTCTTACAATTCTAAAGCTCTTTGTTTTGGATACACGTGCTTGCTCTTTACATCGGATTGTATTTCGAATTTCCGACCCATTTAAATCATCGAAACATAATCAAACTGCCGAAAATAGCTGCGGGGTTACTCTGAAAAACGTTATCCGAAGTTTCGAATGTTGCCATCCCTCTCACGCACGCAGCGAGATGCAAGCAAGAGCGACAGTGACAGATAGATCTGAAAGTACGTGAACGGAGTTTCGGAGTAGACCTGCTGGCACTTGGCTGGAATTATTGGTTAATTAATTACAGGAAAAATCTCGGGGTCTGTTTCAATTAAGGTCCAATGATGTACGGTGTTTGGACGCGATAGTAATTCATTTTGTTCCAACACAAAGAACTGGACGGAATATCTCAAATATCTTTTGGGAAATTCCGTCAAGTTCTGCGTGGATCCCGTTTTACCCATTTGAGGGTGGAGTTTCGTAAAATCCGTTCTTAGTGAGCACCTACGTTCTAAAAGGAACCCCCATGCAAAATTTGAGACTCCTACGCACTTGTAGTTTCTAAGATTTCGTGATGAGTGACCTTTGACCTTTCGCTTTTATAGTATCTTATCTTATTATTCTAAAGGACATTGTCAGAAACCGCCTAAAAAACCGCCCAAAAACATTAACCCATCATAATTATTTTCTATTTTTTTTAATACATTAAGCACCCTTTCATTCTAATGGACACTTAAGCATTGAAAAATTAAATAAATAAGTCTTTTAACGTTTATTCTATAATACTATTACAACTTCCGGACGTTTTGGTGCGTGGCATGGTCTAAAACCTATCAAGTTCCATAATTTTTGCCGATAAAATCTGTACGAGGCATTACCGTACTTTATTGCTGGGAGTCCATGTATAGTGATGTTCCTGCGGCCATCATAGACAATAAAATATCGATTTTGAAAATAAAATAAATCGATTAAACTGCTTTGAAGACTAGATTTGCGTTAAAAGCTAAAAAGATATTGACAGTTTGACACTATTACAAGAAGATATCTAAAGTGTCCAACTGGTCGAAGGTCGTAAATAAAATAAAAATAATTAGGACCATAAACTGATATTCATGGTATCATAACTGTAAAAGTGTCAGAATCCGATGTTGAATCCAATGCCAGTTGAAGTGTGAGAAACATATATATTTTTTTTTTATGTGACAGGAGGCAAATGAGCAGACGGATCACCTGATATCAACCTAGTATAGTTGCCAGTCTCTCATAATCTATGCCAATGAGGGTTTTCGCGATTGAAAAATCCGCCAGATGGCAATACGTAGACGTGAGGTCCAAATGCTGCATGATTGGTTATTTTTGACATGACATTGACAGATATCCACCAATCATGCAGCATTTGGACCTCGCGTCTACGTATTGCCATCTCGCGGATTTTTCAATCGCGAAAACCCTCATTCATAGCACATGTATAATAATAGACCAAATGAACTTTTATAGATTGTGAAAGAGAAGATAAAGATTTTATTATTTTATTAAAATCTTGCCACGAGGTAGTTTTTCAGTAGAAACCAGGATTGGATAATCGCTACAGGCAAGTATCAGAACATTTTATAAATATTTTTAATCGATTATATCCATGTGAATCGTTTTAATAAATTGTCATTTTACTTTTTCAATTAAAACTTTTTCAATCCCTAGTCTTGTCAAACTGTCATAATGTCAACAAATTATAAATGTCACGTCAGTTGACTCAATTTCAGTCTTCTGTGCGTTTATTGTATTTTTATTTCAATGAAATAGTGCTAAAGGGTTAGTACTAAAACTGAAAGCCTTTTTTCAGAAAGAAAACCAATGTGGTGCCCTTATTATTCATGCTGTTTGAAAGTTACAAGTCAGTGATACAGAGTTGCCGACATTATAACTCCGTAGTGATACCATACCAAAGAAGAAGTTTTCCTAAACACTTGTGTTGTTTTTATATGTGATCGAATAAAAAGGATTAATTCTACTGCTCAAATGGAATAACTTATCCCAAGAGACCGAATATAAAAAAAACCTCTCCATAGAAATTATCACCATCACGAGGATGTGAATTTTTTTGAGAATTTGATATTGGTCCTGTAAGAAAAGTAGTTGTATTTCAGTAGTAGAATCAACCCTTCTTGTTTCATCAGCAAGAGTAACTATAAAAACGCCCTGTAGGTAGGTATTATTAAGCTGAAGAGTTTGTTTAGTGTCAAAGACTGTCACACAGTGTAACTTAAATTGGCATATTATGATAATGAACATAAAAACTTAAATAAATATTTATGTTAATATTTTTTCTATTTATTTATTTTCCCAAAGCTTCACAGTGACAGCTGAAACAGCAATACTGTTAACAAAACAGTAAAACTAAACTTGGAACAAACTGTTACAAATATGAGGGGTTTAATATTTTACAAATTAAAATAAAACCGCATGTTGCTTTACTTTCTCGTATAGGTAATAAATGTAATTAATGGCTAGATTATTAATGTTACTTTGTTACCCTCAATAGTGAGGAAATCTTATAAAATGGTAACCCTGATTTTTATTGTCATTCAAGTGCTCTTTCTTCGCATAGGCTTCTGTGATTTGGCCAAGGGCCACACACATTGCGATAACATTATGCGACATTGATTTGACAGCAGCGGAGTGAAGTCTTGCGACTATGCAAAATGATACCCTGTAATCGTAGCGCATACAGACATAGACGGGGCGGGGCACATAGCTCGTAGAGCTGATGGCCGCTGGGGCAGGAAAGTTCTTGAGTGGCGACCACGAGCCGAAAGACGTAGCGTGGGCAGGCCTCCCACTAGGTGGACCGACGATCTGGTGAAGGTCGCGGGAGGTGCCTGTATGCGAGCGGTGCAGGATCGGTCTTCGTGGAAATCCTTGGGGGAGGCCTTTGTCCAGCAGTGGACGTCTTTTCGGCTGAAACGAACGAACGAACGATACGTATTACCACTATTTACCAGACATTACTATTTATTGCATACTCGCCGGATTACACGTAGGAGCACGCGCGTAACAGCTTCGGCCTTGCATTATTATAAGATCTTGTTCCGCCCTTTTACGAACTTCCTCCGTGAGGATATCCCCGCCGAATTCTATGATGAACCTATCAAAAGTCATATTCTGCAATGTCAACCCACCACAAGGTGGACCGACGACCTGATAAAGGTAGCGGGAAGGCGCTGGATGCAGGCCGCTACCAACCGTGCGATGTGGAAGTCATTGGGGGAGGCCTATGTTCAGTAGTGGACGTCCTGTGGCTGAAATGATGATGATGATGAAGAAATGAATGAAAATGACAAATCTTCGAACGTGTATAATACCGTGCCAAAGTAATCATATAATTTTGGCACCTTAATAACTATTGCCGTTTTTGTTGTAAAGATCATGCAGCGCTACTTGCGGATATTATTGGAAAGAAAACTATGTGGGCTCTAGATCTGAAGCCGCTTTAACGAACACGAAGTGCTCATACAATGCGGCGTATTTTCTTCCAGTCTTTAGTCAGGACTTTAGTCGAATTAAAACCCCGGTTGAACGTGATATAGCCGCACTAGAATACGATGCTTTTTTGCATAATCGCAAGACTTCGTTCCGGTGTCGACCGAATGTTATCATGATGTATGTGGCCCAGGGGTTACCGTAGCCGCTAAGGTTTGAAACTTCTTGCTTAAAATATTGTAGTCTTTGGCATAGACTACGATGGTAGTCATGGAGATAGGAGTTTGTTATCTCGTGTCAGATGTAAATGGTGAAAAGAAAACTCATGATTCGTGGTATTTTTATGTAATATGTAGGTATTTTATAAAAGTGGAACCCCGAGTGATCTCCAAAACCCATTCTATTATTATATACGATTCGGCTTCGATATCTATAATACAATAGGAGTTTATTTCATGTGTCAGATGACAAGGGTGGAAACAACCTACGATTCATGTTGTTTATTTACGTGCAATATGTGGGCATATTGTAAAAGTGGAATGCCGAGTTGTATTTCTAAAACTTGTTCTATTATTTTATACTATTTGGCTGCGACTCGGCGTGACGACAATACAAAACATTTTTCGCGAATCGGTGTTCATACATTCACACAATACATTAGACGCCATGTTGTCATAAACGACATATTATAAAATCGCTGTGATTTAATATTCTTAATCATTAATTTTATGGCAAGTGTCCATCAGGAATCATTGTTCTTACACACAGAATCGTATTATTTCGCTTTCGGGTAGTAATATGTCAAAATTGTTGGTTCTTTAGGCGAACAATGTATGGAGAACGAACATTGTCCTTTCTTAAAACTCTACCATTGAAACTACATACATGTTTGTTTTGTTTTAATGTCTGCTAATTGCTTAATAATTAATGCAACGTTCGTTATTCTACCAAACAGTTGAAAAGAAAAAGAAAAATAGAGAATTTACATTTTTTCCAGACTATTTTTCCACTTTGTTTATCTTCAAATGTTTTTGAAAAAGTTACGTTTACACGCTTTGGTTACATTCATAATATTTTGATGAAATTGAACAAGAGTTTCTGTTGCTAAATTGTATAATGTTACTGTTTCGGACCATTTCTGAATTAATAAAAATTTAGGATAGTTGGGATGCTGGCTCTTTCCCTAAACAAATTTTAGTATTGCTATCCAGCGAGGAAATGCAGCCAGCATCCTCGCCTCTTTGCCTCGCGGACACGTTTTTATTTTTGTGTAAACAATTAGGCGGGTTTTAGAATCGCGCTGACCGCTCGCTGATCGTCGGCGCTGACAGATGAATATGTATGTAATTGAAGGGAACGTTCCTGAGTGAAGCTGATCGCTCGGCGCCGACGCTTCATAAATTTCGGCTGTCAGCGCTGACGGTCAGTGAGCGTCAGCGTGACTCTAAAACCAGCCTTAGTTTTGCGTTTGTTGAAAAAATATCTGTTTATTTTAATATTTTGTAAATAAATCTTCCCTATCCAACTGAAACCCTATAGAAAAAAGAGATTCGTCTTCGCAAGTATAATACAAATTGAAACCAACCCGTTGCAAATATTGTGCCTACACTTGTACAGTCGTGTCAAGTAGATTTGTTCTGTCACCGAGGGATTTTATTGGTAACTCCTTGTCTGTTCCGAACAAGATAAGGTTTGTATAAGGAAAACCGTAGCTTTAACCTGTCTCGGTTATAAATTGAAAATATATTGCGTGATCTTTAATATAAAACTGTTTAGCTAAAAATTAAAGGTAACGCCTTTCATAATTTGGTCTCAAGATTTTGATTTTTCGCTGATACTTTGGATGATTTTGTAAATAGGTTTAATAATTATGTGTGGTAGTGATTTATTCTTTACCCTATTTTTGACACACATAATTTTAGTTAATTTATGAATTTATGGTATGATATTATATAGTTTACGATAAATTGGTTATTTGATCTACAGTTTGGGAGATTAACTATAATTTTAATCCTTTCTTAAAAATAATAGTAATTAATATTATACTTACATCTGAATCCCATCATCTTCGCAGCTTTAGGCAAATTTATAGAAAGAACATGAGTATCTACAAAGTTCTTAAACTTCTGAAGCAATCTGTATTCGTAGCTGAATTTGCTGAAAAGCGCTCTTCCTTCATCAGTATTTGTTTCCTTTTTACTATCTTCACTGCCTTGAATAGATTTAATCTCAACACCATCAGCGATTTCGTATCTATCTTTGCTTAGCGCTTTATTTAGTATATTTTCGACTTCTTCTTCAAGTTGCGTTTCACTCACATTAACAAGAATATACCTTTTCGTTATCGTTCCAAGGATCTCTATAACATCGTCCACTGCATCGTTCGTTTCTTCATCTTCACTTACATTAGTTTTATTAACTACATTTTCTACATTTACACTACCTTTACTACTACTGTGACAGCTATGGCAGTTATTAGTTTCTACTTTGTCTATTTTAACTGTTTTGGTTATGCTTTCTTGACTTTGACAGTTTACATGTGTAGTTAGAGATGTTATATACAATAGAGCTATAAGATGTGTCCATTGGAACCTCCATTCTGATCTTCTGTGGTGTTTTTCGTGAATTTTCTGAGTGGGATCCATATTTGTGATGCAAACTTCATCACCGTTTTATTTGTTAGTTTTGATAGGGTGTTCTTAGAATCGCTGGCTGGGACATCTGTAACAAAAGAAAGCTGTGATGAATAGGTTTTCTTGGAAGTAATTGGTTTGTTTTTCTAGCAACTACCGGAGTTTCTCAGGGTTGTACAATAGGAGTTTTTCCCGCGGTAGGGGAAAGTTATTAGTCGGAGAATAGTCGATTGGTATGTTACGATACTATAATTGGAGTCATGTGTGATAACGTGACCTATATTAGAGCTATTTTAATGATCAGTCATTCAAGGCTTAGAATCATTCAAGATAATAAAATTCTCAGTTTCAGAAGGTATTTATCACAGATTGCGCCAAAATTGTACAAGGAAGTACATAATATTTTCAGACTGTCTACGATTTAATACAAAGTAAAACAAAATACAAAACAGTTTTAACTTTCATAACACGAACGAACACCCTAAATCCGAAACAGCCGAATAAAACCGTATGTACGGTGCACGCTACAGTAAATGGGTAGCTACGTCATAGTGCCGTCGGAATGTAGCGACTCGATGAAAAATTCGGTTGGTGCTTTGACTTGGAACATGTAAAAGAATTTCTAAAAGTCCTTTTTTGGCGGCTGACCCTGGCCGCACAGGATTTTCAAGTTTTAAAAAAACATAGTAGCTATTTTATCCGAGTGAAAATACTGTTGCCAGCAATATCTGTTATAGGCCAGTAGAATTAGATTTTAAATCGGAAATAATTCCTACAAAAGATTTTATAACCGAAAAAGCGCCCCTTTCGGGGGGCCCCACCACTTAAGCACAACTCCGTCGAAGTCGAAAACCTAGGAGAGTCTTTATGGGCAACTAATGAAGCCATTAAAGCACTAAAATCTTTAGTAGGAATTATTTCCGATTTAATTAATTTTTGTGTTTAATTCTACCTACTGGCCTATTAGAGATATTGGTAATTTACATGATGGAACGACGTCACAATCTTAACCTACCAGTTTTTCATTGCTTCAGTTTCAACAGGTGAAATTCTGAAAATATTACGAAGAAATGCATTGTATGCTTTAAGTTGTGTGTTGTTGAGATGAAGAATCATATTTGTTGTACATTAAAAGATGTTGTTTTCCTGTCAGCCAAGTATTATGCTTATTTTTTTTTCTTTTTTTTCACCTCAAAATTTCAATTGGCGGTCTGATTTTAACATCGCTAGGCTATTTATTTATTGTCAACTTGAACTCGTCCAACTAGTTTTCATTTGGAAATTTTAAGGAGTAGTGCGAACGCGATCTCTAATTCGAACGTCACATTGTAAATTATTTTAATTTTAAGTAAATTATCGATAAGTTATCAACCCTATATTCACATCAGCCATAGCCAAAATCAAGCCAATAAACGCGCAACGATTTCACATGGATGTACTTTAATGCGCCGATCGCACTGCGGTGGTATTCACTACGTGTGATATTATGATACGTTGGGTAGGTTATGAGATTTTGATGTTTTCATTTGTACGTCATTATAGAGACTTCTCGATGTATTTTGATGACAATATTTCTTACGTTTTTCAATTCAGAAGACTGTGATAGCGCACGTCATATTTTACATCTATTGTAGTAGATCCATTCATTATTTTCAACCGACTTCAAAAAAAGGAGGAGGTTCTCAATTCGACCCGTATGTTTTTTTCTTCTATGTTTGTTACGCGATAACTCCGCCAATTATGAACCGATTTGAACAAATCTTTTTTCTGCATATACCTTGCTATAGGTAATACCTTGAGGGTGGTCCCATTTAAATTTAATAATAGAAAAAACAACCCCCAAGGGTGGAAAATTGGGGATGAACTTTTTTATACGCAATATCTCCGCCGATTATAAATCAATTTGAACGTTTATTTTTTTGTTGAATAGGTATTATCAAAAGGGTGGTTTCATGCGAATTTGAAGAAAATATTTCACCCCCCAGGGTGGAAAATTGGGGATGAACTTTTTTATACGCAATATTTTCAATTTTAGTTTTTTTTTGTGTTCACGCATTTGAAGTCGGTTTTATTTTTTTAAAAAGTTATTATTTATTTATTTAATGAGCAACATAATAAGCTTACAGAAAACCCAAAGCGCTTACATGTTTAGTCACCACATCGATGACGTTTAACACGTTACTTTACTAATGAAAATAATATAACATTATTTTACAGATAAAAAACTTTTCAGAGTAAACGGTGGGTACAATAATAGTTTTGCTGTAAGACTAGAAATCTTCTTGAGGAACTTAAAGCAGGTGCTGTATGTCAAAAATGATTGCATGAAAATAACCATAGAATCTAAAAAAGTACTCAATTTTATTTTTATGACTGTCAGGAAACAACATTTAAAGAACATTATTATTGCCGATGATCTCTACTTGCAAAGTTGTTGAAATTTTTATTTAGTATGGTAATTTTAATCCAGTGTTCTTTCCGGGTGTAACTTTTTAACTGTAAAGGTATACTCATACCGTATATGTAATTAATTTTAAGTTACTCTTTTGTTGTGCACCTTTATATTTCTGAAAGTATACAGGGTGAAATAGCCTGTATAACATTAGTTACCACAATGTTTAGCTTACTACAGACTGTGCCGTCATAAGCACAAGCTTAAAAGCTTTACGAGTATTCTAGTAATTGCAGTGAACGTTGGAACCATTTATTGTGATTAAGTGAATAAAACGTAACAAACATAAAACCGCCCAAAAAGATTCAGGGCTCTTTCTCATGGCAATCCAGTTTTGCGGGATACAGTAAAAACTAGTTCAGTAAAATTACTTGTGTTCACACGACAGTTCCGTTTTTTGCAGGCACGGTTAGTGATGGTACGGGTGCTTGCAAAAAAATGCAAGAAGCTACGAGTGGGATTCTTTTGGACTTGACCAATATTGCATAACTTGATATTTAATAGTTTAAATTGTGATTAATTAGTAGATCCTCCTCTCTTCTAATTGCAGTGCCCGTATAATGATCTGTTTAACTTTAAGCCTTATCTACCCATGTTAATTATGGTGATGCAAATAAATAGGTATGTATCTATCTTATGTTAAAAAAAACTTGTAATTAAACTGGATCCTATTTTTACTGGTCCAGTTATTACAAAACCGAATTCCAAATTCGAATGGATGGGTTTCACTACAAACGGAATATGGTACGTGTGAACGTTTAGTGTTAAAACACATAACACATATTATACTAAATGGTATCCTGCAAAAAACGGTATATCCCCGTAGAAAAGAGCCCTAACAAACATAAAAGTGCCCACCCAAAACAAAGCCACATCCGGTCTTTTACTGGTCATTAGCTATATTTTATTATTATTACAGTCCACTCAGCGCTTTTAGGACGTTACCATAAAAAACGCCGTATCTGACGGTTCATAAACGCATTAATGTAGATACGTACGTGTTTATCATAAGGGACAGAGCACACGCAGAAAAAGGCATTATGAAGGTAATGGACTAAACAACACGACTAAAAGTCATGCCCTAAAAAGTGTGAGATAATTTACATGATTTTACGTGCCTTTTGGGCACCAAACGGCTGCGCTGGGTGTGGTGTATTTTGTAAATATTATTCAGAATTTAGGCTTTAATTTACATGTTTGTTCGTTTCAGCAAAATGATGTCCACAGCTGGACAAAGGCCTCCCAAGGATGTCCAAAATGACCGTATGCTTACACGTAATATTTATCACAATGTGCTTCTTACATAATTTGATTCTGGAACTCAACAATAACCTTTTCTATGAAATCAACATCTAAATATGGAAGTAACAAATTAATTTGCGCATCCTCATATAAATTGAAACAATCAAAACCTACATCTTGCTATGTTACATACTGAAACCCACACGAGCGTAACCGAATGCTGAGAAATAAATAACAATATAAATATAATAAGCGCGGAAACAAGATGGAGTAAACGGAAATGAAACGAAGACAATAAATAAGATATTGCCATTTTTATAACGTACGACATATTGGTAATATTTGGGAACGAAGTTGGTACGCAAGTGTTTCACGAAGCTGAATTTGTTAAGATATATGTATTTCTTTTTTAGCCAAGTTCCAGCAAATCTTGACATAAGCTGAAAGTATGATAAGAAATTTTACTCATTATGATCATCATCATCTCAGCCAAACGTCGGCGTCATCGAACAACGTCGCATGTCTGTGTCCGTCAAGCTCTGTTTTTGGGTATGAAACTACTCTGAAAGTAGCTCCTATAAATAAAATTATTTTTATTTTTCAAAATTCATAAATATATCGAAGCTACAGAATCAAACACCGATGCATGTGATTATTCTAACGCAGTACAGAGACGTGTTTGTGCAAGATAACATTTTGCAGATACGTCGTTGTTCGAGTACGACGACGAACGTCCACGGCTGACCCAATGCTTTCCATGTTGCCCGATTGGTAGCGGCCTGCGCCCAGCGCCTTCCTGCTACCTTTATGATGTTGTAGAAGAATTATTATAATAATGCAATTCGAGAAGAACAAGAAATAGACATGTGGGTGGATGTGCGACTGATTTTTTTATCGATTCGAGCAGTCGATTACCTGTGTGCTTACCATCAGTTTACGTTAGGTGTGCTCGCTAGCGACTGCGTAAAAAGAAGACATTAAATGTATGACATATTGTGCAGCGCCCCTAGCTGCTACTTTCAAGAAATAAAATAGCTCAGATCATAGAACTATGATCTGAGGTCACACACGAACCAATCACAGAGTTCTAATCAACGCTGTGCGTTCGATTTGCTGCTTCACTTAAGCAAGTATCGTTTGTAAATACGGGTGTTAATCATATCACATTGTATGATATTTCAAAGTTTTCTCCATACTGTGTACGAGTATCACTGAGTCCAACCATCAAAATGGCACTTAATGAACTTCTAATTGTCAAAGAGGCCAGTTCCAAAACCTTAGTAAACTGGTTACATCAGGTTATTACCGCTTTACCGTCAACCCAAGTAATTAGTGACAAACTTAGTTAACCCAAACGCGAGCTTCCGGGAGATGAGAGTTACTTTAAA